GACGCACAACCTATTAAAAAGAAAAATGCATCAGCTTTAAACTGTTGAACCCTTTAAACAGAAAAGCCTCTTGAATTCAGAAGTTAATGGAAGAACCCAATCACCCACTCATTTTCCAATGAGACTTCTTCCTTGTGGATTTATATTTGTCATGTGACCTGCTACGATCCAAATTGCTGTAATTAACACAAACAGTGGATATAGGTTACTTTGAAAAAGGGTATTTTTATACTTAGCAGCTTCATATATTTGAGGCAGAAACCACAGGAAAGCTGTTCCTCTTCCAGAAACATTTCAAATAGTTCACAAAAGTACACGTACACAGCAAAGAAAGAGAGAAACCAGAATCTCAATACAGTCTTTTTTTCCATTCTCTTGGCTTTTTAGGTTTTAAGGCTCAGATTAACACTGAGATTTTATATATTAAAAAAAAAATAAATCATGCAATTGGTCACAACATAGATTCCTCCCATAGCTAAAAATAGGAAAAAGCACTGCCTACTATTTAGTGGCGTCAGCTTTATCATGTTTATGACCGTCAGGGCCCCAGTTTGACATCCTCTCACACTCCAAAAGATCTGCCTATTTAAATAATCCTGGCAACTAAGTCACAGGCACACACAATTGCATTGCTGAATGATTTGACAGACTGGATAGCATGAATGGTTGTTGTAACAGAATTTGGCTTTCTCTTGCTGCACACTTCAGGTCTATGTGAGCCATTAACAAGAAATGTTAATGCCTGTTCTAGATTGTCTGAAAAGAAGCAAGATTACGAAGAACTCTCCTCATCATTTAGATGAACTCTCTTCTTCATTTCTATTCTAGCACTAAAGCAGAAACATCAAGTACTGCAATTCAGAGAAGGATTTAAGTATTTATTCCCAATGAGCTGAGACATTTTTCTAGCAATTCACACATTCATTCCAATGGGATTTCTTAGGAATGACAGGAATAACAAAAACTAGACTAAGATTTTCCTATTTATGCTAACATACCTGCTTGCTTATTATTTCTTCTTCCAGAATGAGACAGCAACATGACTGTCTCTTACTCTGAAGAACATCCCAATGAACATGCCAACAAAAGCAGTAGAAGAAAATCTGTGCTACCAGTGTTATCTTTCCAAGCATCACAATTAGGCTGACAGACATGTGGATGAAAACAACTGAAATACTATAAATCAATAATTTAACTGCACCCATCTTTATTAATGCTTTGCATGAGGACCTATTCTTATGCATCTCTGGGATGCAGAAATAGTAAAGATCTGTGAAAACCAGGACAGAGTCTTTAGGAAATTTCGCCGTTTTAATGGATTTTGGTCCCAAAACCTTGTTAAGAGTTGTCTTACATGTTTTTTCGAAGAGAAACATCTCTCTCTTACCCTTGTTTAACTTCTACCTGAAAAAAGAACCAAAAACCAAACAAAAAATAAAAGCCCAAAGAAAGTACAATGTTCCATACTGACTAGAGAAAAATTCAATGGTCCGATGGATGGAGGTTACACTGAACTCTAGACAATACTCATTTAATCCCCAGAACACTTCAGAGACCCTGTTTAAAACCCAACCATGCAGGAACTGCACTGCCAAGCTGAAGAGCCTCTGAACTGCAACAAAGGAGTAGAAAGAAGTAGGAGCATTGCAGACTACCCTTACCATCACGGAAACTGTAACATTCAACTCTTTACCAAAGATTTTACAGTCACTTTGTTCTGGCACAGTCCAATGCTGCTTCCACTTCAGTGGAGGCTGCCGAGAAACCTGTCATAGTAATGGAAAAGGAAAACAAAGACAATCCCCCTCTGGCAATTCCAGCTTTCAAGCTAGCTTTAAACCTGGAGAAAAGTATCTCAACTTCCTGTCAGAGATCTAAAAACTGGCAACTGTCATGCATTTTCCAGATGTTTACAATAAACTCCCTATGCATTCACAAGATGCAGAAGCAGCCTGTAAGTTACACTCTCGGGCCTTCCTGAAGCCTCTGAATCATGCTCTTGCAGTTTCGAGACTTCTTGCTGGCTTTTCTAAAGGCTTCTTTTTCACATTATTTTTTTATTATTATTATTTTTAAGACCTAAATCACAAAGGAATTATACTGCATGTACCAAGATAAATCCGTCAGGATACAGAGATAAGCAGGCACCTGCTTGAAGCATACAATTGAAAGTTCTATTGATGATCTACAGTTCAGGAAGTAACTTCATGCATTACTTTCCTCTTCTTGCTTCCCCATCACTGGGACCACAGTGCAGACAGGTATTTCTAAAGTGCTCCCTCTCTTGCCTCAGAAGTTGATCACCTTGATTTAAATCAAACAAGCTATTCGCCACCCTTGGCTGTCTACACTAGGGTTTTCCTCATCATTGCCAAAGCAGGGATGTACATTTTGAGAGGTAAGTGGCAGATTTCTTAAGGAACTCCACTCACCAGGACTTGGATCCAGACTGAGACAGCCATGTGGGGGTGACAACAACCTAGCTGAGCTGTACACCACTGCTCAGCTCTCTGAGCTGAAGAGCTGGTCCACTCCTATGCTGCAATCAAAATGTACAGCCAAGAGACATTCAGAGCTCCCCCTTTAACTGGCATAGTATCTGGTCCAGCATTTACAACCAATGAGTAGCATACCCTGAAGTAATTGCATGCTATTCTTGATGTAAGACACATGTCTCTTCCAAATCTATCCAGGCAGAGACTTTCATCCAGCCTGCAGGAATTTACACCTCCTGCCAACAGAACATACACTTCCAGATCAGAATGTGAAAAGAAAGGCAGGACTAAACTGATGAATGATATAAAAACTAGGGAGCTGAGAGCAAAGGTAGATGATGTTGCACAGCTGGCATACAAGTTTGGGATAAGACCATCAAACCAAAATGTGTAACTTGAGTACTTCTGCAGATCTGTGCAAATTAGGGATTTAGAAAAAGTATTTTTAAATTAATGCCATCTATCCATAAATCTACATGTGCACCTACCATTAATTCCACCTAGTTTAGGGATATAAAACTCTCCAGGTACTGGATGTTCACAGTTTATGTCATCACACATAGGCAACCAGTTCAGAGTTCAAACTGGAAACACCCTACTTAGTTTTTTAGTTTAGTGTTTTTCCTTAAACAAAAAGAGGGCTAATATCCCAAGATACCACCTTTTTTGAAATCACTCTCCAAAATAAAGACATAACCAAATGTCTCTGAACCAACTACTGCCACAAAACCAAAGCCCTACATTTTGTTGTAGGTGCCCAATACAGATTTATGGGGGGAAAAAAATAAATGAAAATTAAGATGTCACAAACTATTAGCATCTGATGGGCAGAAACTAAAATGTTCGACCAAGTTTTCATTTTGACACCCTACACACCTCAGTCATAAGACTAAAGAAATCAAAGATTTTGGTCCAAAGCACTAGCTGACATCCACCAAGCATGACATGCTAAGGGAAATGTCCTGGCCTCCCCCCTTAAACTGTACAATGGGAAGAGATCAAAATGGTCTTTTAAGCATGACTAATTTTAGAGCTTCTCTTATGTCATTGCCTCTTCCATTCTTCTAAAATAATCCTCTCTTTCATCACATTGCATGCTTCCCCAGTACTAATTGCCTTCCACACATAATACAGTCCAGAAATAACTCAGATGCAAGAACAATGTGAGAACTTTACACACCTTTCTCAATTAGAAGTTAAATAATGCTGTATGATTAGATTAATTTAAACATATCTTTCCTCTTTCATTCTTCATCTAATGCATCTGTAATATGCTGATGCCTGTGGTGATGACAGCATTAATTTCAAGACTCACGAAAAGGCATATACCAGTTCCTTCAGAACACTTCAAAAGGATGGTTTTGCTCCAAAAACGGGACATGAATTTAAAACATAAGCAATAAAGCCAGCTGTGCTTGAAGTCTTAGGGAAAAAATGAGAAACCTGAGGAGATTACAACAATGTCATCTAATTGCCTTCAGGATTTCTAAACCTAAGTATCAAATTGCAAAAAAGAAGTTTCCAATCACTGATTTTTCTTAAATACGTTTCAACTTCCTTTTAAGCACAGAAGATTTTGTATCAAGACCATGGCAAAAAGATTATCTGTGGCACTCTCTCTATTAATTATCTTTATACTTCTATAGCCATTAAGGCTGTGGCCTTTAGATCCCAAAACCCACACCACTGATTTCAGACACTAAAGACAGCATCTTTGCTATCATTCACTGCTTGCACAATTTTAGCTACAGGCCACCTGACTAGAAGGGAAGTAGTCAAGCACACCAAGTACCAAGCACAAGACTAACAGCAGTGGTGCGGTTGCTGATGGTCCTTGACTTTTATTTGGTTTAAACATCACCAGATAAAAATACAATTTTTTGGAGGGCTACTTGTTCGAAGGAACAATTTAGGTCTAACAGAACCACTACAACAGATCACATTTATAAATGGGGTAATGAAGGGAAATAACTCGCCCTCAGTCCAAACTGCCCTGAGCTCAGTATTTGTTATTCTCTTGTTTGGCCTGAGGGCTTCCTGATTTACTCAAATACAACCTTCCACCTGTAGCGGCAACAACCAAGAACAAAGCCTAAAGGCTTCTGTTTCTTCCAGCAGCTTAATTACTAATGACTGGAGAAGAGTCTATGCTAGAAAGAAGTAAGCATAAGACAATCCTTTCTCTTGTTTTCATCGCTTGTTGTCTGAAAAATCTAGTCTACAACCTGGAAACAGCACATCAAATCAAGATGTTTAGCTTCCTGTTTTGCACTACTCCAAATAATCATAAAAACAATCAATGACTCACTGATTTTCAAGTTAAACTATATCCCTTTATCATAGACCATCTATTTAATCTTTAGTTCTTGAAATTTTTACGTGCATTTATGAACCCCAATGAAAATAAATTAAAAAAGTAAAAATAAAAATAAAAACACTGCCATCAAAGACATGGAAAACAAGTTAACATTCATAAAAACATGACGAACTTATGCATAGGCTCACCTTAAATCTTTTATCCTGCAGGACTTTCTTAATGGCCACAAGCTCTCCTGAATCACAGAGTTTGGCTTGATACACAACACCGAAAGATCCATTTCCGATAACCTTGGTGTCTGTGTAGCTAACTTCTTGTGGTCGGTCCGGACCTTGTCCAGGAGTTGCCACTACTGTAGTCACTTTGCTGCCATCTTTGTCTCCTGGGAAGCAAGAGATAGATAAATAATCAAAATACATGCATAAACAAGATGAACAACAAGTACTTATTTCTACATCTGATTAATGTAAGTGGTATTAAACACAGTGTTGTTTGTATTACCAAAATGAAGCATTTCCCTTTCCCTGTATTTTCCTGTAACTGAAGAAACCAGCCTGTCAGCATGCAGAGTAGCACTCTGCCCTTTACAGGCATCTATCTGGCAACAAAACCCAAGAACTGAAAAAGTTTATTACAAACCCACCTACATGCAAAGCTTCAGCTTTTGTTCATTAGGAAGCAAATCCTTTGTCAAAGCTGGCTGTGAGGACCTGAAGCAAAACCTAGGCTGCATTGTATGGCGCGGTCCTGCTCCTCTCTCCTTCCTTGTAAAGGAGGGCATGCACTGGGGTGGGGAGAGGAAGGGGAAGAGGGATGATGGTGGCACGCACTTAGCTTGCATTTCAATACAAACCACACTGCAGAGATGTGTGCTCAAGAAGCAAGATCACAGAAGATGCTGCACAGGTGAATGTGCTCTGGTGTTGAAACCCACAGTGGCTGTGAGTTTCAACAGTCCACTGCCAACCACAAGAGCACTTTCCATCAAAAGACAAAGCCGCTATCAGCTACTCTTAGCACTACTGCTATCACCAACTGTGCTTCCCCCTGTTCAAGGTCTGATTTTGTTTGCAATAGGACCTAAATGATAGACATTCTGCAGGCACACACTAGTCATTTATTACCCTTCAGTTATGACAGCTCGAGTTACAGAATCCAAGAGGGCTGCAAGAAATACACTCTCTGCTGTTCCACAGCCATCACTCAAACTCTACAGAGACTTCACTGAAATGCTCACAAGGCCAGAGTATCACCATTACTGTTAGTGAGATTTGCTCCCTGCTTTCCCAAAAACATCAAGACTACCAAAAAAAACCTGTCCCTGGCAATATTGGTTGAGATTTGAAGTACCTGGTCTCAAAGGATCTGCTCTAAGGACACTCTTGAGAGCTGGAATTCCTTTAGCAACCCCTGAATTTCAGGCCATGTCAGGTGGTTCTTCCCAACGTGGCACTGTGACAACCTGGCCACCTTCTCCAGAGCCATCAGTTTTGTATGCTTTTCTTTAAGTCCATGGAAAAACAGGTCCTAACGAAACTTGTTAAAATCTTCAGATCTTAAAAGCGTAAGCGCTGACACTTTGTGCAGTTCTGGTGTCCTCAACATAAGAAGGACATGGAGCTGTTGGAGCAAGTCCAGAGGAGGCCACGAGGATGACCAGGGGCTGGAGCACCTCCCTTAGGGAGACAGGCTGAGAAAGTTGGGGCTGTTCAGCCTGGAGAAGAGAAGCTGCGTGGAGACCTCAGAGCAGCTTCCAGTGGCTGAAGGAACAAAAACACCCTTTTCCAGCAACCTGCAGTACCTCCAAATTGAGACTCCTAAAAGCAAACACCAGGAAACATTATACCACACAGCAAGCCTTAATGAGAAGCCTAGGCAGTTTATGTCTCATCCCTTTCACCTCTTATTCTCTTATGGACTGTGAGACGTAGTGTCCCCAGCGGATAAGCAGACATTGTCAAACACACAATACCCTCGACACATTCAATTGTAGGTCTACAATAGAACTAGAACATTAAATTGAAAAACCAAGGAAGGAAGGAAGGACCAAGCACCAAAATACTAAACAGCTCTTACGGCACAGCTCACATCAGAAGGTCATTAGTATTTGTCCAGAAGCTGCTGCTTTCTGGGGCAATATGACCTAGCTTTATTGTAACAAAAAGCAGACTCATGTGCCTATATAACCATCATTTAGGCAAAGCATCTTTGTAACAGCCAGGAGAGAAGCACAAATGAAAATAAACAGCTGTCACTCTGTAGGACGCTTGGTACATTTCATGCAAACCCTGAAAGCACTTCCCCACACAGTGTTGATGTTTAACATCCATGGTGTGCTATTAAATGGACGGTTTTGACGACAAGGTTATTGTAGAAGTCTGACGTGCAACTGAAAACAAAATCCAGACATTTTAATTCCCAAATGCTCTGATCTTTCTAGCTCACTTCCCACCTTTAGCACATGATGACTGTATGGGACAAACCATGAGCATTAGGTAATGTCAGTGGTTTGAAAGCAGAGAATACTCATCAGTTTGTGGGAAGAAAAGAACATACTCCACTTACAAGAACAGTTTATTAGAGCATGAGTGCAAGTTCTAACTCTATTTTCCAGTATCTTGGCATAGCTTAGAATGGCTCATATCATCATTTTACCTAATGCCAATGGTCAATTACCCTTTCAAGCCGAGTATAAATGCAACGCTGTATACCCAGAAAGAAATTGAACATATTAAATTGTCCTTTATTTATACAATTCAGCGATTAAACCAAAATTAATATGGAGTGGTATTATTTTAATGAAAGATTTGTATGGTTTGGGAAAAAGAAGCACAAAGCTCGGAAAAAATGCTGGTAGGTGTTTACCCAGGTGAGACAAGGGATTCTGCTACTGGACAAGCATTTTGTCTCATCAGAACCCCACCAGCTGCAGATTCCTACACTAGGTCAAAGCTGACCATTTGACAAGTGTACTGCACATACACTTTTTGCCAGTGCCTAAACTAGCTGTCAGGAAATAAAACTCTCTTCAGCCCTCAGAAACCATGAAAGACGTCCTTTGTTATTGATCAGAATGCACCCCACGCTTTCTATTGAATAGGCCTGGAAAAAGTCCAAGATTATGTCTGCCCTACATCCCCTCAACTGTTTAGCTTCTGACCAAGAGGTACAAGTGCACACTGATGCACATCTATCTATGATTCGTTTTTCTTTCAACTACATACACACCCTCTTCCTCCTCTTCTGTATGTTTTGAAGTTGAAGAAACAATGAATTAGTAGGATGTTTAAAGCTGCTTCCTTCCTACTTCAAGTGCAATCTGTCCTTTGTGCCATCTACAAACTCCCTTTCCTCTTTCTATTGGCTTTATCCATCCACTCTTACTTCCCTCCTCCAATTGCTACACTCCTCGTTGGCATGCACACAGGTCCTCCTTTAGATGTTACTTAGGTTGTTTTGAAGTTCTAAACCTACAACACACTCTCTATGAGTATCCACCTAATTCAAGTATCTTCACTGATCTGTTCCAATTCTCAGTGTCTCCTCCCTATTAAGATATGGCTCAGTATTAAGTCAACATTGAGTACTTCTCCCTCTCCCAAGTCTAAGGCTTCTCCACACTCCTCCACCTCAATTTGCTCAATGCTCAATACAGTCAACAAGTCATTTCCATGGAAAACTTACACTGCTGGAACTAGCCCCTGCCAATTTGAACAGATCACAACCAGCAGGTGACACAACTACCTATAGAGAAATAAGTGATCAGAAGGGGATGGGAGTCTATCAGAATTGCACTGGCTTTTTTCAGTCACTGATAATTGAGAAGGTCAAAAGATCCGAATACTTTGTGAAACAAATCTCTTAACAGAAAGCACAAGAAAAGTTATCTGCTAGGATCTGATGCCAACCATCTGATAAGGCTATGAAACAGAACACCTGGCTTCTTAGATATCTGTTCATGGCATGTGAAGGAAGAAGGAGGTCATCAGCTGCTCTGAGAATCTTCAATGTGAGGAACATGCTTGAGGCACACTGTCAGCAGGAGAAGTCACAGTGCTAGATGACATCCTTCTGATTATTTTGGCCTACTACATTTCTAAAAGGTTGATTTCACAAAAAGCTAATAATTATGAGCCCCTACAGGGGAGAAAGTAGAAAAGTGATATTTACGAGCAGTTTTACTAGACAACTTCCTTTCTTCATCAGTGAACTGCATGAGTGTTACCTAATGGGAGACAGCACGAGATGGAAATGAACATTCAAGGATCAAATCAGAAAACCTCAGGGAATCTAAGAAAGGAGTCTAACAAAATACAGTGTGTTTTGCTTTTACATTTACCCCAAGCAAAAGGAGTCCATGAAACTGCAGAAACAGTTTGGGTCAAACATTAAACAAAACCCTGTAAGTGTGCCAATCATCACCCAGAGAAGCAGAAGTATTCACTAAATATATACACACACACACACTTGTTTTAGACAGGAAATGTCAGCTGACTTCTTGACTGAAACCAAATACCACAAAATAAAAGAGCATCTATCAGATGTTACTTAAGATCAGAAGAATCTCACAGGTTGTATCCAAGAATTTTGGAAGAGCTAGCTAAAAAGCCTGAGAAGTAATATTGATTTCTAAAAGGAATCAGAACACTCAGAGAACAAAGGTAGACTGAATGACCCACACGATCCTGTAAGTTTGACAAGTTCAGATTAACTACCATACCAGCTACTTTGAGAATGAATAAAGGAGTAAGGTGGTTTATAGAGACTGCATTGTTAAAGAGATTACAGGTTCATGTCAAAAAGAGGCAAAAAGAAGTACTGATGGAAAAATCACTGTGACTTCTGCAGGGTTTCTGACTTGCTATCACACTGTAAATTAATGGAAAAACATGTATACAGAAAGAAACATGATTATTCATCAAATTATAATACTCTAGTCTGCAAGTTTCAAGACAACTGTAATCTAATAAAATATAGTAGGAGGCCCCACTGGCATTAGCTTTTGGTCTCATACTTACTGCTTGTATCAACCAATGTGAAAGAATTGCTATGAAACACAGAATGGTTTGGGTTGGGAGGGACCTTAAAGCTCATTCAGTTCCAACCCCCTGCCATGGACAGGGACACCTTCCACTAGAGCAGGTTGCTCCAAGCCCTGTCCAGCCTGGCCTTGAACACTGTGAGGGATGGGTTATGAAGCTCTCAGACACAACATTTAGACTTCTGCACAGGGCAGAGATCAGTGAAGAAGCAGCTGGCCTTCCTTCCTAACCCAGGCACAAACCAAGCACAGGGATTCAGGACCTAAGGTGACAGGCCATACAGCCAAACCAAGTAAAGCCATCCAAAGAGTGGAGTCATCAACTCTGGCTTGCGAAACATCCTAGCACAGAGTAAGTGCCTAAGCACAACATTGCTACCGAGATCTAAAGCAATCCTCAGATGTACAAGCAGAGGAACATCAGCCAGAAAATAAAAAACAACTGACCAAACAAAAATGCAAAAAACCCCCACCCCAAACCAAACAAAAACAAAAACCGAGGG